TATATATATATATATATATATAATTTATATATGAGAGTATATAGTTTAAATACATTTATATCAATATTTCTCTAAAAAAAAACCCGAATATTTTTTTTTTTAGAACATCAAGAATAATACAGGATTTTCGAACTCTTCTCACTTACTATAATGAGGGCTTATGGTATCTTAAAACCTTGTTCCCAGCAGTTAGTTTTATACCTGCAAACATAGAGTCGCCATTACCTTTTGGAGATGAATTCCCAGGTGGTGGTGATGTCAAAGCTTTCGTTACAAGAAACGGACATCTTGTTGATACTATGGTGCACATGTAAGTATAAAGGGTTATTTTTGTGCATAATATTATTTTTCTTTGTGTTTTATTAAAATAATCAAAGTATATGAGAGGGACATGAATGAGAATTTGATTTTAAATGAGACAAGTGTACCTACCATAATCAGGGCCGGCAAGAGTGAAAACTGTAACAGGGGCAAAGGTTGGTGTAGGCCCCCAGTTACCCCTGGTAAGCTTGGACCACGGGGATGTTTTTAGATGGCCATGACTATAATATCAGTGAGTGAGTGAGTTAATTCTGTCGTTTTTTTTTTGGTTTCCATCCGCTTCTCCAGTCTCCTTTCCAGCTACTATTCATTCGCAATCAAATCCCAGTCAATATGAGATATAAAAAATAGGCGCCGGAGAAAAACAATTTGTGATATGTTGTACAACTGATTTTTCACAAAAACTGTTTTTCACGAAAAACTCCGGAACCGTTATTGAGATCCAGATTTTTTTTTTTAACTGGAGGCAAAATGATGAAATAGAGGGTGTTTACACCCCCTTTCCCTCATTTTTTTAAAATAATGAAACTCCGTATTTCATTTACCACTCCCGAGTTTTTCATTTATTTTCATTTCATTTCTTTAGGCATGAGCGCCAAGGATATGCCAATCAGTAAACTTAATTACTATCCTACGTGGCATATCCTTTTAAACGACAGGGGACTGAATGGACAAGCACACCGGGGTAAACCACTACTCTTCTCGAAGGATGTACTGGGTTATTTTAAGTGCACACGAGGCAAATGCCTGCACTGGACCTACGGTTTATTGTCCTTATCGGAGAAAACTTATTCCACCATTAGAACCATTGGCAATATTTAAGAAAATGTTGAAAACTTTATTGTTTCCTTCTGATTACGAATTAACTAGGACTAGATGCAAACATCATTAGAGCACCTGTGAATACTCTCCTGGCGGGCCTTTCGCCTTAAATTGTTGGGGAACGGTGTGGTGGTGTTTGGTTTTATCTGCGCCGTTTTATTTTTCTTTCACTTTCCGGTTTTCTTCTGTTAGATGTATTTCATCGTAACAGTATATTAGTAAAAAATACATTAAAAGTGCCCTGATCTTCATGAAATAGCGTTATATTAATGATGTAATGTATGTATATGTGCCGTTGGAACCAACGCCGATATTATACCTAAAGCTTACGGTACGGTGCCCCTGACTTAACCGCTCGGCCAATCAACTCGGCCAGTTTTCGTCAAACACCTCTTTTGTGTCTTAGAAAAATCAGTCCTACAACATATCATTTTTTGTTTTCCTCCGTAGCCTCCTACGAATTGTTCAATTGTTCTTCTCTTGCTGTACTGTGTGCCCTAGACATATCAAAGTAGGCGTTGTTGCTAATAAGGTTATGAAAATATAAATATTACTGTTCATTTATCAGTTATGTATGTATTGTCCAATAAAACCTGCAGATGTACCTTCAATGGAGAACAATGCAGCTCTGATGATTTTGTGCAAACAATGACAAATTATGGTTTATGCTACACATTCGTACCACCACCCAATAAAACCCTTATCGACGATATTGGTGAGTTTGCAATTCAAGTATTACTTCTAAAGAGGTGTTGGCTATTGTTAAACCAGTTCTAATGCTGTTTGGATTACATAAAATATAGGGTAATCAAAGTGATTGAATGTATGTACGAAAAAGGTTTACTTGCTTATAATAAGCAAATGTAAGACCAATTAATTCAATTATTGAATTAATTGGTCTTACATTTTAAAATTAGTTTTATAAATATATGCGTGGCTTCACTACCTGGCGAATGTCCTGTTTTATTTGTCTCCTTGATTTTCCATTCTTTAGTGCAATAATTGATATAAAAAACATATGTATTATTAGTCTTTTTTGTACTATGCCTTAAATGTTTTTTTTTATTTGATTTATGAATAAAGGTGGCGATATCAAAAATATTTATATAAGAGTTAGTTCAAAGTAACAAAATTATTGTTAAACTACAGTCAGACTAGTTTCGTGCTACTAGTTAACTAAGACATTTCACCAAGCGTTTTGCTAATGTTAATAACATTTTGTTCTAGGAAATTCATACGGATTGAGTTTAATTTTGAACGTCGAAACTAATGAATACTACTCAGCGCCAAGAGAAAATGTTGGATTTCGAATTTCTGTAACAAGTGAAAATGATATTCCAGACTTGCAGGCATCCGGAATTGACGTCTCCCCAGGGGTACAAACTCAGATTGCACTTCAGAAATCTAAAGTAATATAACCATATTCTTTAATATGTTATAAATATGTTGTTATTGGTGACGTCAACAGAATTCTTATAATTTTTAGCTGTTCTATATTTATTTCACAGATTGTAAATTTACCGCAACCGTATGGTAAATGCATCGAAAAGGGCGATAAACAACTTAAGTATCTTAGCCAACCATACACACAGACTAAGTGTATAACCGAGTGTGAATCGGATTTTATCGCCCAACATTGCTCATGTAGAATGTATCACTCCCCTGGAGGTTAGTAATAACATACGACTACAATATTCAGTTAAGACATGCCTATCTCAATTCAATTCAATTTACATTTATTCGGCTTCACAAAAAAACAATTACAATTATATCCAAAATGCGGTAGAGACAGTTAAAACATCATTAAAAAGATAGATGCCAGGATAGCTCATTAATGTCTGGAAATGAAAAACAAAAACATTATTTCCAAAGTTTTCCATTGCAAAAAAATATACATATATATATATATACTGTCTCTTATACACATCTAGATGTGTATAAGAGACAGGTATAACAAAATACTGACAAAAAGTAGGCCTAATTTTTCTGATTTTAAAAAAACACTGGTCATAATGTTTTGTAGATGTAGGTTATGGTTGATGCAAGCTTAAAAAATATCAATAAAAGGACAGATTCCACGATAGCCCATGAATGTCTGCAAAAAAAAATTATTTCCAAAATTTTCCATTGCAAAAAATATGGACAATATAAGTATAAACAGTTGTTAATAATCAAATACATATAAGTCTCATACCATTGTGTGGGACAAACATCAAAAACTAAATACTGACAAATAGTAGGCCTAATTTTTCTGATTTTGAAAACACTGGTCTGAATGTTTAGTAGACGAAGGTTATGGTTGATGCAAGCTTAAAAAAACATCATTAAAAGGGAGAGATGCCAGCATAGCCCATGAATGTCTGCAAAAAGAAAACTTATTTCCAAAATTTCCCATTGAAAAAAAAACATGGACAATATATGAAGTATGAACAATTGTTTATAATCAATTACATGTAAGTCTCATACCACTGCGTGGGAGACAAAAATCAAAAACAAAATACTGACAAATAGTAAGCCTAATTTTTCTGATTTTGAAAACACTGGTCAGAAGGTTTATGTTTGATGCGAGCTTACTAACACCGATTAATTGTTCCTATATTCGAGTATTGTTTAATAATTTACCATTTTCCTCATAATTACAGTGCTACGTACCGTAGTACTTTGATCTATATTTATGTATTAATAAAGCCCTGTGTATGAATATGTCTAAAATGTTTTTTTTTTTTTTATTATCTTACTTTTTCAGACGATAACGTTCCATTTTGTTCACCAAAGCAAATGATTGAGTGCTTTCACTCTATTCATAGTAAGTCAAAAATTATAAAGTGCTGTGTGGAAGCCTATTATGTGCTTGATCCAATGACCAGTAATACTTTAAAGCGATTATTATTATTTGGCCATTGTTTTTTTCTGATTTTTTTTTCTTGCATACTTTTTCCTATTGTTTTGCACTGTTTTATTCTGGCCGTCACTTTGGTCACTTTCCATGCTTAGAACTTTACCATTACTAAAAGACTGACAAGAATGATGAAATATTGGTTGACAATTATAAAACTGGATAGAGAGAGATTGGTGTATAATGCATATGGGGAACAGTTTAGATTTATCGATAATGACAGTGATTGCTGGGCAAGTTACCTTAGGTCTCTTTTGTTTCATTATTGATAAGGGGAAGTCTGGATAACTAAGGGGTAGGTGATGAAACAGCTTTCATTTATAATTTTAACAAACGATGCCAAGACATAGATGAGCAAAATTGGTTTAGCAGTATAAATAACTCAAGTAAGTTAAAGCAATACTTTAAATTCAAACGTACTTTTGAAACTGAATATTACCTCTTAAAAAGGGGCGTAAAAACAATGTTGATTATAAAAATAGGCTTGTATTTGTCATGATGGTAGCATTGAAATTAATTTATATTTGTGACAATCCGGAGTAGGGTATGGATCTGAGAACAATTCAAATGAAAACGCATATTTCAAAAACGGATCAACTGATCTGAATGAAACATTCGGAAAAATTTAACCAAGTTCCAAGGAAGAAATTATTATGTGTTGGCGAAGATTCAGTCAAGGGTGTAAATTTAAGGGTCATTTTTTTATTTTAAGATCCCAGACCTAAATATTTCTAAAACGATTTCAATGTGTCTAAATGAAACTTTCCATAATAGTTTGTCAAAGTCTGGTAAAGAAATCATTACATTTTTGTGACGATCCGGAGTAGCTTGTGGATATGAGGACCATTAAATGAAAACGTCCCAGAATCAAACATTCAGGAAAGTTTAACCCAAGTTACAATGAAGATATTATTATGTATTGGGGGCGATCCAGGTTAGGGTGTAAATTTAAGGGTCATTCAAATTGCTTATGTCCAAGTTATAAATGGATAAAAATGAAGCTTTGGAGAATAGTTTTTTCATGGTCAAATGGAGAAATTATTCAATTTTGGTGTCGATGCGCAGTATGGTGTGGATACGAGTATCATTTAAAACTTTTTTTGGCAGTTGATTACATTATTTAAACGCAATTTGCGTTTTTAAAGCGTGTAAACCAATTACAGCTAGGTTAAACTCAATGTTCTACCCAACAATGAATACCTAATACATTTCCAAAATAATTCGAATGAGAATCGAAACCACAATATAAATGTCTGGTATAATAACCAATAGAACAACTACCTTGCCCAAGTGGCCAGAATAGAATCTGGTATTTAGGTAGCAGTGGGTACAGTACTGCAATTATTATTTTTAACGCCTTTTTGCGTCTAGAAGCTCAATAAAAGTGATCTTTTGCCCAATCAGTGAAAATAGAAGTACTTGGGTAAGAATCGATTTTCGTATAATAACCACTGAGCATGATCATGTGGCTGAGTTGAATTTCATTCTCAAGCAGCCACGAGCACTGTAATTAAATATATTCCGTGCGATAACTACCGGTAGTCATTTTATTTTGTATTTTATAAAATATTGCTTTAACTGAGCACTCAACCCAACACTTCCATCCACAATATTGTGAAGTAACGTTTTTTGACGATACAAATGAAATAAATGGTGTTATTGCAGAAATTCGATACCTAATTTGAATTAAAAATGGTCTATTTTGTATATCTGAGCCGGAACAACTTATAATAAGATTATAGGCAATTTTTATTTGAAGTAGAACAAATATATTTCTTTTAATATAATCACATATGATGGGGAGATTTCAGTAATCACAATTTGGTCCAATACCATGTATATTATGTAAATTAATTTAAATATACGAATTAGGAGTGAGAAAATAAGGTTTCCATGTCTTGCAACTGTAGGCTGCAATGAGTTACTTTCTTAAAAAAATATTAGGACATTTAATTTGCTCTTCTAAAATATGTAATACCAAGAAATTGCCTAAATCAATAATTAATATATGATTAAGTAATGTAACATTGAAATGTTATTGATGTGTCATTCTATGTGATAATGCACAACACTGAAATGATGCACGAATCCATAGGGCTTTGTTTAACAACGCACCATTTAATGCAAAATGGTGAACAACAAATCCTTGTCCAAGCGTTACAAGGCGAGCGTAGGAACGCTCGTATGGAGCGCCATAGGCGTATCATCACACATGTGATTGTGTGTATAACAGTTAATAAATACACATATACTGCTGCAGTTATGCTTGTTGCTTGTTTGTATGTTTATTGCCTCGCTCTAAGCCAGTTTTTACGTACCGGTCATATCCCTGTCATATGTTAGAAGTCACACTCTACTTATACACTGTAGTCCTTTGGACACTGCAACACATATTAGGCCAATATTATTATTAAAATTAATAATTAAACAACTCCTTTATTACCCAGAAAAGTTTGTATCCACGAGGAATCAGATATGCGATTGTCCAGAGGAATGCACGAAAGAGGGGTATAGAAAATCGATGTCCTTTAGCGTCTTCCCATCGAGTGGCATTGTAGATATACTTGAATCGACTAGCAAGTCCAGTATCACTGCGAGCGCATTAGGATACTATATCTGGTAAATATAGGCAACAATAAGACAGACAAGCGTTCGAGTATATTTTTTTTCGATATACAAATAATTAGTCTGATAGTGGTACTTGCAATGAACAGTATAAATATAGCTATTAATGTTACTGTTAAGTCTTATTGCTTCTATGATAAATATTTGTTTCAGTTTATACACTACATACGAAATATATGAGAAGGGTGCTGAAGAATCATATAATTATTTGGCAAATTTAACATCGCAGTTGCTCGCCGAACTTCAGCCCGAGCAACCAGTCAGCTCACAGCTAGTTGTATGGTACTGCAGTCCTTTAGTATTCAGATTGTTCAACTTAACATACACCATCAAATATATAATGGCTTCAACTATGATTGATAACATGTATTTTGGATTCGATGATCCAGAATACGCAACCGGGTTTAATTCATCGCTTTATTTTACCAGCAAAAATATTACAAAAACATACTATTATGATTTAGGCCTTTTTGATATGCAATCTGCAATAGCTGAAATACATTCGTGCCGTAATGTTTTTTCTACTGCCGAATATGTGAACAATACAATATACGAGGAATTCTTTGAACAATTCTTTGAAGAATATTACGATGCAGAATACAAGAATATGCATAGCTTGTTCACAAAATGGCTGAATATTCTTATTAAGGAAAACAACAAAGTGAAGTTGACAACAGAATTTATCAAGTAACTACTTTTTTTTTATTTTACCTTGTCTCGTTCTTTCATAGACACTGTTCTTGGACATTTGTTGATATAACATTGCCTCGAGCTCTTATAAAAAACGTACACAAATTTAATGCGCTAAAAAAAAAACACTTTTTCTAAAAGTTTAAAATATCATTTATAAACCAAAAATGTATGAATGAAGTTTACACATTTCCATAGTGATAACAACATTAGGTACATTTTTAAACACCAAAAAAACCGTATACCGGTCTCCCTCTAAGTAAAGACCCCTCCATTTTAAGACTACCACCAGTTAAACACCACTTTTTTGTGGTCCCATATTAACAAATGTCTTTTATCGTTGTTTTATAGGTACCAACGTTGCTAAAGGCATATAATTTGTTGGTGTTATTATTTTTTATGTATTGGTAAAAATATACTTGTCGCCAACCTTATGAAAAAGATTTTGTTTCGAAGATTTAATTCAGTTAATATTTAAAGTATTGTAATCAAGTTAACAACGATTTTCATTTTTTCCCTTACAGAGCTAATTACGCCCGAGTTGATATCTATTTTGAAACGCTAAAAGTGGAGGAGTTAACAGACCAACCTCGATATAAGTTGTTTTCACTCATATGTAAGAAAAGCGGTTGCTCCTCAATCGAGCGCAATCTAAACCGCAAATCGTCATCATCTTGATCATAATCACCATCTTCATAATTACCAGCATTACTATCATCGTCCTCATTATCATCATCACCACCACCATTTTCATCATCGTCATCATTATCATCATTTTCATCATTTTCATCATCATCATCATCATCATCTCCATCATTATTATCATGAGCATCATCATTACTATCATCTATCTGTTTTAAATTAGTTAGCAAAACTACATGTCTCGGCCCCATTATTGTCTATTAAATTTTTACCTGGGTGGTGCCAGGATTTGCCCTGCGGCGGGTCCAAGATCCCTGACCGGTGGGGTGGGGGGAGAGTGGGGACCGAAGTCCCCTGACAGGGTCTAATGCCCTCGACGGGATCCGATTTCTCCGGCGAGAGAAGAGTGGGCGTGGTCGGGCGTCGCTCAAAATATGCCGAAAATGGTCCAGATTTTGAGAAATTTATCGGTTTCAAAGGATTATTTAATCGATTTTAGCAGAAAATACATAATGTTTTTCTCTCCCCAACGAACTGTGGTTTTTCGCACCGGCGGGGGTGGAGGGACGGGGGCAAGGAACAGCTCTTCCCGACAGGAGGCCCCTGTCATTTTATAAATGATAATTTTTCTAATTAAAGACTAAAGCTGCTAAAACCAACAAAAGCCCGTTCCTGATAGTGGTCTGACGAGACCTGTAATTTCTTTTATTTGATTTTACTAAATACAGTATAATTATTATCTTCATAATTTCTAGTATAGTTTAACCACTTATCTATTTCTTCGTTCAACATTTCACAGGTGATCTTGGTGGTTCTATTGGTCTTTTTTTTGGGGCAAGCATAGTGGCCGTCGTCGAAGCTATTGATTTCTGGTTTATTCAGGGTTGGAAGAAGAAAGAAAAGTAATGTTTCATCTGCAATCTGAAATACGTGAACAGCGCTTTGACAATCAGTGAAAACTTTTAAAAAATGATTTCATTTCTTTGTAAATAATCGTACTGGTATTATAACATTTTCAAACACCAAGACATGCTCTAGGGTAGGACTAGCAATAGGGTGTCATCACGAAATCACTTTACCGATCGTTAAGGTTTAGATGTGAATGTTCCAACAGAAATTATATTTGATATTAGACTTATTTAATCTAATTTTAATTATAGTATTTAAATAAATGATATTACATTATTATTATATGATATCACACGGGATATCAAAATAAGGTGATTAACTCTGAAAGTCTATTAGTAATATTGTATATCTTGTTTTGGACTTTAAGATTAGGAACACTCGGCAGAGTGAAAACTTGATTTTTACACTCTCTTATAAGTGGAACAAAACTAGTTCTTGAAGCACAGCAAATATATAACAGAGGTCAGAGCTACATGTGGCTACTTGTGACTCTGACAGAAGGTCCATATGATGTGATATTTTATAAATGACAAGACGGGATCTCTGAATGGGTACCTTTAAAAATAATTCATATAACATAATAAAGAGATAATTAACTATGTATCGTCTTGCGGTAATGATATATATATATATATATATATATATATATATATATATATATATAATGCGGAAACTATATATAAATAAATTGTTAAACGTTGAAGAAGAGGAATCTGGGAGGGTGGAAAAAATAGGTGCTCCAACCAAGGATCTTCTGCTGTCTATGCAGACGCCTTAACCAATTAGGCCATTGAGGATTTGTTGGGAATTTAAATCCGATAAAGCATCTAATTCTTCCACACTCATGCGCATGCGTATGAGACATCACTAGTCTTTCATGCTTGGCAAATAATAGAAATCAATAGGATACACCCTTTTCTTATCAGCAATTAACGAAGAGACGAAATCTCTGAAGAGATGTTTTTTGTGAGTAAATAATAATGGAAACCGCCTTGCAGTAATGCAGTAAGTATATATAATTAATTTTATTAAAACGTTAAAAATATATAGTTTTGCAATAGCACCTTTCCAACAAACTAGATTTGAATTGTATAGGTGTAATTTAGTCCTACCTGGCGTGGAAATCAACATACTCAGTACGTGTGAAAACAATGGCGAAAAAAATCGCAAGTTGTTCTTGGGTGGAACTCAAACCCACGATCTCCAGATAATTAGCCTGGCATCATACCTCAAGACCACCGAGCTTGCGCCTGATGGCCAAGGTTTGAATTCGAGTCAAAGTAAACAGCGGGTACTGCAATATTGATAGTATTGGTATTGTCATGATGGAATAGACAATAACAGGATTTGCGTCAGGAGAATCAAGTATAGGTGTAATTTTGCCCTACCTGACGTGGAAATGTATGCTGAATACTCAGTACGTGTGAAAACAATTGCGAAAACAAAATAACAAGTTGTTTTGAGGTGGGACTCGAACCCACGATCTGAATTTGAATGAATAGTATTAAATTATAACAAAGTGATAGTAACATACTTATAGATATAATTGTATAATTGCTGCGAAGTTGCTGCGAAGTTGCTGCGAAGCAGCCAATTCATATTCTTGACAGCAATTTGACCTCTGAAAGGTCATTGTTTGTCAAAAATCAATCGCCTGAGACAACTGAAAAGCGGACTTTCTTTCTTTCGTTCTGCCGGGTAAAATCAATTACTTTAGGCGACGTTTGTAGACTAACCTACTCGTACCAACGTCGGCATGTCGCGACGCTGGAGTACTATTCAGCGTTTTTACTATATTTCTAGGTTTCCTATTTCTACGTTTAATCGACCCATGTCTCAGCCACAATATTTTGAGAAC